GAATTCAGCAATCAGCAGTGTGTGATCGCTCAGCTCTCAATCAATAGAGCCGACACCTGACAGCTTCAGTGTCACACTTTGGCTCTTATTATAGGAACGAGTGTATTTCACTCCCCCCATAGTCCTCTAACTATTTCATTTGAAATGTTCCGAAAAGGGGGCAAAATATAAGTAGAGGAAACTTCAGCTTCACCAAGCACTGCAATAAAGCAGCACAGACAGCTCCCATACCTTTATTCTGACAGGTTCCCTTCATCAGCACACGTTGGGGTGGTAGGAATAGGCTCGGCCTTGGAGCAATCACCTGACAAGATGTGATTGGTGTCGTCAGCTTTCCTATATGTGATGAATTGTATTGGGAATAGTGGCCTCAGGACGTCACCTATCACATATTCAGCAAGTGGAAAGCCCGAATAACTCATGTGAGGACTGCACCCCCCCAGGCTGTGGACACATCTCGGAATCACACCTGGTTAGCTATAGGTGACACGCTGACTGTGTGGAGCTGTAAACATATCTGACATATCTGATCACCAAGTGCCAGCCCGATGGAAAATGTCCAGGGGGGGGCACATTGTAGGGATGCTGCTATTGGTTCACACACCTGGAGGAAGGTACACCTATCACTGGAGGGGGTTTCTCCAAATATGCTCGACAGACATAAAATGATCTAGACACAAAAGGGCAAGTGGATGAACTTGTATCCGTAGAGCTAACATTACACAGGAGCTTTCCATTACTTAAAAAAGGACTCCAGGTATGCAAAAGGTTAACCCTTGCAGTGCACTAGCCCCCCCCTTTCCCTGCAAGGATTGATTGCTGGTTTGGGCGGGCGCTCACCGCTGCAGGGCCGAGGATCAGGTGAGCATATCTTCTTTATTCTCGGCCCCTAGAGGAAAAATGAGCAATTAACTCTGTGCAGAAGCCTCCTGTAATTAAGACCGGTAACTGCAGCTCTCTCTCCATGTGCAGGGTGACTGGTCTTGTCTCCCCCCCCTCCTGTAATAAATACCGCTCACTGCTGCTCTCTGCTTGTGCAGGGTGACTGGTCTTGTCTCCGCCCCCTCCTGTAATAAAGACCGGTCACTGCTGCCGTCTCCTTGTGCAGGGTGACTGGTCTTGTCTCCGCTCCTTTTGTGTAATAAAGACCGCTCACTGCTGCTCTCTCTCCTTGTGCAAAGTGACTGGACTGGTCTCCGCCCCTTCCTGTAGTTAAGACCGGTCACTGCTGCCGTCTGCTTGTGCAGTGACTGGTCTTGTCTCCTCCCCCTCCCGTAATAAAGACCGGTCACTGCTGCTCTCTCTCCTTGTGCAGGGTGACTGGTCTGGTCTCCGCCCCCTCCTGTAATAAAGACCGGTCACTGCCCTCTCTTTGTGCAGGGTGACTGGTCTCGTCTCCGCCCTCCTGTAGTTTCTAGTAGTTTGTGGGGCCAGCTGGGACCCTCCCACAGCTCATCTCTCTGCACAGGCCATGTGCAGCACGGTGATGATGTCACCACTGCTTTTGCAAGGTACTATCCTGGTTTGCAAAAGCATTTGGTGCACACACAGCGGAGTTGCATCCTTTCTGGAATATATTTAAAAGGAACATTTTTGTGCCTGGAGGTAAACTTTAAAAATAAATGAACAGAGAAGG